ACAACATTTTTAGGATAGATTCGTATGAATAGAATATGTATTCTTTGGTTTAGTTTGGTTAGGTTTATTTTGTTTAACGGCATATCAACCTAATTGGATTATTTAATGCCGACAACATTTTTAGGATAGATTCGTATGAATAGAATATGTATTCTTTGGTTTAGTTTGGTTAGGTTTATTTTGTTTAACGGCATATCAACCTCAATGGGTTATTTAATGCCGACAACGTTTTTAGGATAGATTCGTATGAATAGAATATGTATTCTTTGGCTTAGGTTGGTTTGGTTTATTTTGTTTAACGGCATACAACCTCAACCCTCATTCGTATGAATAATATGTATTCAATGCCGACAAAATTCTTTATTGGTGGTAATATTTTGTTTTGTCAAAAATCTGTTTCTGGTAATATATTTCCTTCAAAATTGTAATGCTGGTATAATTTTTCCAAAAAATATTGCTGGTAATAGTTAACTATTTTCCCATAGCTGCGATTCTAACAGGTGCTACAACACCGGGTCAGGGTGGATCTGGGAACACCAGCAATTAAGAGGTGGTTCCATACTCCTCAAAACCTCCTAATCAGAGGCCTTGCTGCTGGATGTAGTTTATTGTCTTACCCAGGACGCGGATGTAGTTTAACATCTTACCCAGGACGATTTTTTTATCGGGCCTTATATATTTATAAAATTTTTTACCGAGTTTCAAACCAGGACTAAAAATATTCAATTGTCCAACTTCCTTTGCTAAACATTCGAGTACGTTCGATATTATTCGCTACTAACATATTTAGAAGCGCTCTTCCGCAAAAGTCGACTCCAGCTGCTTCACTGTGCTTACTCGTATAAGAGGAATTCCCGTAGGCCACGAAAGGCCCTACAGATTCAAACGGCTCAGTGTTATTAAATAGCATATGTCACCGTTTAGCCGGATAGAAAAAATATATGACAACATTTACACTATCTCTCTCTTGCAGACTCCGCCATCTTTTAGACGCATATTCACAAACACACACACACACATATATATATATATATATATATGTGTGTGTGTGTGTGTGTGTGTGTGTGATCAAAGTGCTTTCGATGGGTTCAATCTTTTAATATATTTCTGTCTTTCTGTATCTGTTCATATATCTATCTATCTAAATCTCTTCATAGGTATCACTATGTCAGCCTATAACAATAAGCTGTTCGTATCTATCTATCTATCTATCTATCTATCTATCTATCTATCTATCTCTGACCATTATCAATATATCTATCTATCTGCTGCATCGGATAGTTGTGGGAAAATGAAATAACAATAATGAGTAAAAGGAAGAAAAAGAAATACATTTTCCCATGATGCTAAGAATAAAGAAACTGAAAATATGAATACTCCACTTGTTTTCGTCAAACGTCGTTAAGTGGCGCTTAATAAAAAGAAAACCATTTCATATCCCACTAATATAGCACATGTCACCGGATAAAAAAAATCTATGACAACATTTACACGATCTCTCTCACTCTCTCCATCTTATATATATATATATATATATATATATATATATATATATATATAACATGACCAAAGTGCTTTCGACGAGTTCAATCTTTTAATATATTTGTCTGTCTTTCGGTCTCTGTATATATCTATCTATCTAAGTCTCTTCATAGGTATCACTCAAGATGGCCAGTCTATAGAAAGAGACTGGTCGTATCAAACTCGCTAGCTAGCTCTGACCTTCATCTATCTATCTATCTATCTATCTATCTATCTATCAGGACATGGTAATCCCTTCTTTATCTATCTATCTATCTATCTATCTATCTATCTATCTATCTGCACATGGTAATCTCTTATCTATCTATCTATCTATCTATCTATCTATCTATCTATCTATCTATCTATGTCATTCAATTCGGATCTATCTATTTATCTGCACATGGTAATCCCTTCTTTATCTATCTATCTATCTATCTATCTATCTATCTATCTATCTGCACATGGTAATCCCTTCTCTATCTATCTATCTATCTATCTATCTATCTATCTATCTATCTACATGGTAATCTCTTATCTATATATCTATCTATCTATGTCATTCAATTCGGATCTATCTATCTATCTATCTATCTATCTATCTATCTATCTATCTATCTATCTGCACATGGTAATCCCTTCTCTATCTATCTATCTATCTATCTATCTATCTATCTGCACATGGTAATCTCTTATCTATCTATCTATCTATCTATCTATCTATCTCATTCTATTCGTATCTATCTATTTATCTGCACATGATAATCCCTTCTTTATCTATCTATCTATCTATCTATCTATCTATCTATCTATCTGCACATGGTAATCTCTTCTTTTTCTATCTATCTATCTATCTATCTATCTATCTATCTATCTATCTATCTATCTGCACATGGTAATCTCTTCTTTTTCTATCTATCTATCTATCTATCTATCTATCTATCTATCTATCTATCTATTCTATTCGTATCTATCTATCTATCTATCTATCTCCACCTTTCAAGATGGAAAGATATTGAAAAGCTATTGATCTCGACGCAAAAATGATGATTGATTAAACATTACGAAGGAGAAAAGAAACTGAATGCGATCTGAACTTACTACACACTGATGTGACGATGATTTTGAAGGATGGTGAAAGAATCTCTAAAGCTGTTGGAATTTCTGAAGCAGTTATAAAAACGTAACGGACTGGGCCCATTCACGAATTGGCGACATTGCTACATCTGTGGACGAAAGATGAGATTTAAAAAATTTAAACTTGTTTTTATTTAATTTAGCTCCTAAAATTTGTAATCTTTATTCATATTTTTTTAAGCTGACCGTAGTTATTTTATAGTAATTGTAATATTTCTATATCATGTGTTAATGTATTTCAGTTTTTATTCATAATAATTTAGTCTAATCTAAAATCTAAAATGCTTTTTGTAAATTCTTAGAATCAGCACAACGCCACCTAGTACAAAATTCGAATATATTTGCCCATGACTTGGTGAAAATAGACTTCATTACAGTCGCTCGCAGCAAATAGTAACGCTCTGATTCCATGAAACCCATTGACCAAGTTTTGAAATTTCACTGAGTACAGAGAAGGGATTGTTTTTTGTTGTATGGGCTTTATTGAACTGTCTGCAATTTCTTGTGCTGTCAGTTTAGGATTCTTTTTCAAATTATGGTTCAAAGAGCTTGACTGTCGATGGAAGTCTACGTTGTCCTGTCAGAAGAAAATACCCGTGAGTAAAATTCCACAACGAAAAGTGGGAGAACGATCGCTGACATTTACTGACTATCTGTTTTTCATCGACCGTGCAAATATTCATCGCTGCTTCTGAAGTTGAAGAACCCTTTTTGAACTCATAAAGCGAGCGTACAGTATCTTTTATATATATATATATATATATATATATATATATATATATATATATATATATATATATATATGTGTGTGTGTGTGTTTTTGTGTGTATGACGTCACACATTATGAAATGGATAAAATCCGACAATTATTTTAAGACATTTTTATGTTTATACATTCTTTTTATAGATACAAATATTTAAGTAAATGCTCTGTTTTATAATAAACTGCATTAAATAACATTTACCGGCCTGAATGTCCGAGAAATTTTCATAGAAAATATTCGTCCTCCGACAGGAATCGAACCTGTATCCTATACGGAACCGTCATATAGCCTGACGTGCCTTACCGCTCGGCTACAAAGGATCGTTCGGTTGGAAAGTTCTAATTTACTGCTTATAAACTTTAATCTTCCATGAATCTCTCACGTACATTCATATCTGCTCATGGCGTATCCAATTGTAAACAAATGACGTCACACATTATGAAATGGACAAAGTCCGACAATTATTTTAAGATATTTTTATGTTTAACATTCTTTTTATAGATACAAATATTTAAGTAAATGCTCTGTTTATAATAAACAGTATTAAACAACATTTACCGGCCTGAATGCCCGAGAAATTTTCATAGAAAATATGCGTCCTCCGACAGGAATCGAACCTGTATCTTATACGGAACCGTCATATAGCCTGACGTGCTTTTACCGATTGAGCCAGAAAGGAGCGTTTCGGTTAGCATCGAGCAGATATGAATGTACGAGAGAAAATCATGGAGAATTGTAGTTTAAAAACAGTAAAAACGACCTTGCTAACCGAAACGCTCCTCTGTGGCTCAATCGGTAAAATCTTCATCTCCTGCAAGGAAAGTTGGTTCTCTTTGTCAGGCCAGGAAGTTTTTCTCGTCTACGTCCATCCATAAAATCTACAAATCAACCCTTCGTTCATGCATGGAGTACTGTTGCCATATATGGTCTAGTACCTCAGCTCTTTATCTCGAGGTTCTTGACAAAATCCAAAGACGGATATGCAATGTGACCGGTTCTGACCTGGCATTTCAACTTCAGTCACTTTCTCATAGAGGTGATGTGGCTTCCCTCTGCCTTTTCTACAAATATTTTCATGGCAACTGCTCTGACGAGCTATTTTCACTGGTGTTCCAACTGCATGAATTTAAGCTGCTAGATTGGCATGTCGGTCCCACCCCTTTCACTGTCGAAACGGTTAAATGTAACCACCTCTTCTACTTCAAAATCTTCTTCTCTCGCACTTCACGACAGTGGAACTCCCTTCCTCTTACTTGCCTCCCTGATAGTAATAATCTTCAAAAATTTAAATGGAATGTCAATTGACATCTTCTGTTGTCCTGATCCTCTTTCTTCTTTTTATCCTTTCTTCAGTCCTTTTCCCTCACTTACACTCTCTGTAACCTCTTGCGTACTAGTGGTACTCCCACCTTGCTTGGGGTGAATTGCTTAAAAATGTGTGTGTGTGTGTGTGTGTGTGCGCGCTAATGGTGGTGTCAAATATCTGTTGTTACGTTTTAATGTCACGGCCAAACAGAAAGTCTCAGATATGTATTTTTCTTTCTTTTTTTTTTTTTTTTTTTGTACATCTATGACCTTATGACCTCAAATAGTAACAGATCGGTGTTAATTCGGTGTCAAATTAGGGCATCGCCAACTCGGGATTCCTTGTGTAGTCAGATGGATTAAGTTTCTAGCAAGAACGTAATCTAACAGTTCATTATTACTAGTAGTAGTAGTAGTACTAATATATAAAATATTTTTGATCTTAGAAATGGTGCGGTGAATAAGGTCAAATTTGAATTCTGAGGTCACCGTAGCTCATTGGCTGATGACCTTTATGGTCTTATTGCCAAACTAGTTTGTGGGGGTAGGGTACATTTTACGCGAGGTAACTTAGGTGCAAAAAGATGACAGGAAAGGTTGTGCTGACCTATAAGGTCACTTGAGGTTACCAGAAGTTAATCTGCGATTTAAATCGCGTCATCTTTCTGTATAAATGGAAAAGTTCACTATAATCCATAAATAATTTTGAATTTAATTTATGTGTGCATATAAGTATTGATTATTTTGTGTTTGCATATACGAGTTGATTTTTATAAATACGGATGTCCATAAACGATATTATGAGACATTAAGAGCGATAACTACGGTAAATTTACGGTCTATAAAACCAAAATTCAATAGATTATTTGATCACCTAAAAGAGTTTCTTAAATGTTTAAGATCACTGAGTAGTTAAAAAATCATTTAAAAATATCCCTCATGGTATGTTCTTCAAGTAATTTTTACAGTTATTTGCCCCGTAGTTAAATTTACCAAACATCAGTTTGTCAATAAATTTTTCAACACCTCACAAAAATACCTACGTGTTAAAAATGATTTTCTGTGATGTTTTAAACTAAAATTTGTTTCAATTCAGATCAATTTACATTTAAATCAGCTAATATTTCTCAAATAAAAATTCGGGAAATATATTTTACTGAATGAGTGCTTAATAAAGAGATTTATGTCGGTAAGAGATTTATCAGTATGGACGATTTTAATTATAATCAGAAAATTAATTTCAATCAATTTAAATTCGATTTGAAATACAGCAAATTATTTTGTTTTTGGAAATACAAAATTTTATCGATTAGCTTCAAATTAACTCTAAAGTAAAAGCTTCATTTATAATAAACATTAATAATTGCTTTCTTCTCCCCCCACCTCTTTCTCTCTCCTTCCCCTCTCTCTCCATCCCTCTCTCTTTCCTTCCCCTCTCTCTCCCTCTCTCCATCTCTCTATCCTTCCACTCTCTCTCCATCTCTCTCTCCATCTCTCTCTCCTCTCTCTCTCTAAGTTTTCTCTTTTCCCTCCCTTTCCTCCCCCTTTCTCTTTCCTTCCCCTCTGAATCTCTCCCCCCTCTCTCTTCTTCCCTCTCTCAACCCCTCTATCTCCTTCCCCCTCTCTCTATCTCCCTTCCCCCTATCTCTCCCTCTCTCTCTCCCCTCTCTTTAAAAATTTTGCTTCCATCCCTCTCTCTCCTTTCCAATCTCTCTTCCCCCCCCTCTCTCTCTCTCTCTCTCTCTCTCTCTCTCTCTCTCCTCTCGCTCTTTCCCCTCTCTTCCCTTCTCCTTCTCTCTCTCCTAAATTTCTTCCCGTCTCCCCCTCTCTCCCCTCCCTCTCTCTCTCTATATATATATATATGAGTTGTATTTCTACAGTCAGAATCCTCTCAAAAATATTTTGTTAAATAATATGAACAAGTTCTGTCTATCAATATTTTTGATTAAGTCTTTATTATTTTCGAACTGCTTGAAGATGAAAAGGAGACTTAACACAATAGAAATGTGGTTCTGCAGAAGGATGTTGAGAATACCCTGGACATAAGAAGACTGAACTCGGCACAATATTTTCTTGCAGTAGGTAGCTGTTCCTTCCTCCGGTAGACTGATGGCCAACCAAGATTATAGGATTCAGTCTGTCCTACTATTTAACCCATAGATGGGGGAGAAGTAATGGATTCAGATTCCGTTACCCAATTGACCACAACAAACTTCACGGTCTCTAAAATGCATTTTAAACTTTAATAATCGCTTTCTCCTCCCCCCCCATCTCTCTCTCTCTATGTGTGTTTATATATATATATATATATATATATATATATATATATATATATATATATATATATACAAATGTAAAAAGAATAAAAAAAGATTTCAGCGTTCAAAACATTAATTTAAAACAGGACTCAATAAAAAAAGTAGAGAAATCAATATTTATTTATTATGCGGTGTTACATTAGAACATATATATATATATATATATATATATATATATATATATATATATATGTATTGTCATCCACAGACAGACTGTTTCGTCACAGCTCATCAGTGTGGCTTGACGTATATATATATATATATATCCAGTTTTATTGATATTAGTTTGTAACCCTGAGTTTCACGTTTCTCACCTCCAAAACAAATAAATAACCAAATACAAACAAGCATAAATAGATCGTTTTTTAAAAATAAACTGGTTTGATGATCGCAAAAGCGTGAAACCCAGGGTTACAAACTAATATCCATACGACTGAATATGTTAGCTCTATCACAGATATTGAGCACTTTCCGCTAAGCACCGTCCATATATCATTAATTTTGTGGTGTAGCATATTGGTGATGTCACCAGGTATTTTCAGTGTTTTGCGAAGGCGAACACAAATCTGTCTTTAAATGTTCTACGATAGAACTTGTATCCGACAAATGAAGTGTAAGACGTCATGATAATGTTGTGGTTGTCAAACCAACATATGTTCTTACTTTTTCTCAGACATACAAAATCTCAAAAGACATTGAAACTGATATACAATGTTGGTCTTTTCCTAAACGCTTGTTGATGGGGAAGTGTTACTACTTATGATTAAGCTAGTTGTTTTAAATTTCGTGTAATATATAATTACCATATAAGGCTCACTTTTTTTTACTAAAAATATCTTTTAAAATTCCCTTGCGTCTCATATGCCATATGTAGGTTTAACATTCGTGATAATCGGCCGAAATTAGCTACCTAGCAACTCCTATTAGCTTCGACTTAAACATGAAGGAGGAAGGAATACGTGGATGGCAATGCCTGATCACGACCCTACACTTACAGGAAGAATAAAAAGACCCAGCATTACACAAGTCTGCGAATGGGCGAAACAAGTTTGGGATAATATTAGACTAGAAATTGTTAAATATTTAAAGTCTGGCATTAGCAATGATCTCAATGGAACGGAAGATGACGCATTATTTAACGACGATGATAATAGTATTGAAAATAAGTATAAGAATTTTGATAACGAATTTTATAGAGGAATAAAATTTTAATGGTAACTGTAGTTTTTCTCAATTGTAATAATTGCTTGATTTTTACTTTGTTTTCTTACCTTTGGATATAATAAATTTTTTATAGGACCGTGTTCTTTTTTTTTTTCGTATTATTTTTCGTTCATTTGTAATCATGGCTTGTTTAACCAAAATAATACTTCATAATTAGAGCCTGTATAATTTACTAATAATTTTACTAATTACTAATTTTTCTTGATTTGATCTAAATTAAAAAATTGGGTTGCGTCTTATACACTCGTACATCTTATACAACCGTGCGTCTTATATGCAATCAAATACGGTAGTTTTATTTTTTTACTGGGATCAGTGGAGAATATATTAGTAATTATGAGATATTTTAAGACTTTGCTATCTTGTTTATCGTTAGAATGCATTGGATTACGGTATAGTAAGTTGATATTTTTATTGAATAATTCTTTGGTCTCCTTGTTTTGTTACTGCTAATTTGAGAGATTATTTAAAAAATTTTACTGGGACTATAAAAAGGGCACTATACTTAAAATCCTGTCTCAAATTGAATAAAGCTTTTTTAAAGCCTACACTAGTACTTTTGTCATTACAGATATGTTTAGAGTTATTTTGAGGAATTATATTCTTTTTGAGTGGTGTTAATATTTTGAATGGCTCGTCTAATTTGTTGATTTAATCTGGAAAGTCATTATTAATGGGAATTTATTTAATTTATTTTAATTCAGTATAGAATTTGTTTCGTGGAAGAGTCAACTTTTGCACGGTTTATTAAATTTTGTATAATCGCTGTTTTGTAATAGTTTGGGCATCCACTTTTATAGTTTAGAGCGCAAGTTTATATTCTGGTGTTTTTTTTTTTCATATGGAGAGGCAGTAAATATATTATTATTAGTATCTATCAATAGATCAAGAAAAGTGATTTGATTATTAAGTTTATATGTGAAGTTAAAAGCGAGAATTTTTAAAAGTTGTCTTGTACTTCATGTATTTAATCTATGTTTCTAAAGTAACATTATCATCTACATATCTTAGGTTGATGGAAAGGTTTTTTATCATATTTTCAAGATATTCAAATTTATAACTATATTTATATTTATAACTATATTTATATTTATTACTATATTTATATTTATTACTATATTTATGATTTTATTCTCGAATATACTTGATCATTCAATCAGTGGTAGATTTGAAGTACCATACGACGATGTATTTTTAAAGATATTACTTTCAAAAGTTTGGAATCTGTCATTGATTTCTTTACTTGCCATTCTTTCAGATCATCTCGGACGTCGGTAAAATGTTGAAAAAATATTTGTGCCATATAATGTACAGCCTTCAACAGACAATGCTTAAAAAAAAAAAAATAAAAACAAATTTAAACAGCATAAAATAAAAGTCGTTCTAAATTTATTTCGTTTGACAAATGATATTCGTTATGTAACGGAGATAAAATATGTCAAGCGATAACCGGAACTTTTTCAGATTAAATACGCAAGAATGTTTGGAAGGCGTCGCTCATCGATAAATAACTAGGGGACAAGTTCGATTCTTTGGGGAAGAAAAATTTTATTTGCACTTTAAAATTTTTTTTTTATCATAATATTCATCAAAAGAAAAAATCCGCAGGATTGTTTTTTGTATATTTTTTTATATATATAATATATATATATATATATATATATATATATATTTTAAACATACTTTCTATACTTGTTTTTGATTGGTTATTCTAAATAAAAATAACAATGTTTCCCCCTAGTGTAGGATCGTTAATTAATTTGAAACTTTTAAAACCATTTATTTTATCTTTCAACATCATCACTTGATAAGACACCAGAGTGTGTTGAAACAAAATGGCTATTTTGTAGTGATTTTATAACATACTTATGTTATAATTTTTTTATAAATGAAATAATAATATATATATATATATATATATATATATATATATATATATATATATATATAGGACAGCCCACTTTAGTATCTTTAATCTGTGTTTTAGTTATCACCATATTTAGCAATATATCTCAGTCCGTTATTAACTATCAGTCTGTTTTAAATTTTTTTTCTGATCTATTTATAATAATATTTATATATATATATATATATATATATATATCAAATGATAGATCTATAAATAATCTATCTGCCTATCTAAAACAATTTGTTTTTATCAATTTTTATAATTTTCTATTTATTTATTTCTGAACATAATGTACCTCGATGTTACATGGGATGCAAATAATTATGAATAACAATCTGAACAAACTATTTAATATGAAAAAATTAAATTTCCTGATAGATTAAAATAGATAAATAATCTTTTATAGATGCATTATGAACATTTATATAATATATAGATAGATAGATTAATAGATACTTTATATAGATAGAATGAATATATAAATAATGAATTCTTTAAGATAGTTCCATGCAGCTGTCTAATAGATATAAAAACACAGATAAATAAAATTAACACACACATTGAACACATATATATATATATCAAGATTTATATATGAATATATACATATATATATATTTATATATATAGATATATACATGTAAAATTTTGCGACTTATAAGATAGATTTAGATAATGAACATAGATGCATAATGAACACAGATAAAAGATAGATAGATACCAATTTTTTAATAGATAAATAGAAAGATAGATGACGAACATTTTGAGATAAACAAACCTTCTTTATAGCAGCTTTATTATATATAGATAATAACAAATAATAAAAACACACAAACATATATATACATATATATATATCAAAAATACATATATATATATATATATATATATATTTAAATTTAGAATAAATATATATAGATAGATTGATAGATAGATATATAAAAGTTTGTGATAAAAGATAGATGCGTTAACGAAAAGTTTGCGATAGATAGATATATAGAAAAAAGATAAATAATAGATAGATAGATAGATGCTAAGGAGACATGACAACGGTTCGAGACAATAAACATTTCAAGAGATTTGACATAGCTACACAGATAATTGAAGTGATGCCATCAATTTTCGTCTCAAAACGAGGCATGATTAAAATACTTATAATGGTCGAAAAAACGTTCTTCTCTTTCTTTGTCTTATGTCTTTTTCCAGAAAGCGAGCTTTCATATTCATGTTCAGTCTCCCTCAGCAAGGAGTTCGGCATGCCTGTCCTGCCGTCAGTTAGCAATTTTTTCTTTCTAGGGTTTTCTTCAAACTTTCCGGTTTCAAAAATTCTTTTCTTTCTTTTGGACATTAACAGGACGATTTTCATTCCAATCCCGTTCATGAAGACGGCCTAATGAATTTTACTTTTGATGCTAATCGGGAGAAAGAAATAGATTCGACATAGTTATCATATGATTGGGGATGCAATTGCACAATAATCAATTGTTTGAGTAAAAATATGGACCCAATTAATAGACAAATCAATTGTTTATCAGACATGAAGTTTATACCGTTCATTTCATGAGAAAACATCAAATAATATAAAAAAAGTTGAAGTCTACATCAAACAAGTACAAAATTGTTCAATTTGAGCCTAGTATTTAATTTTATATTTCTTTTAAAAACACACGCAGATATGTTTGTGATGTTTTATATAAATTTAATATTTTTAATTTTGTTCAAGAAAAATATATATCTCTCTCTCATTTATATATATATATATATATATATATATATATATATATATATATATATATATATATATATATATATATATATATACATGACATCAAGAATATAAATATATATATATATATATATATATATATATATATATATAGGGTCATTGATATAAACTATATATATATATATATATATATATATTTGTGTGTGTGATTTCCTTCAGAAATATATATATATATATATATATATATATATATATATATATATATATATGTATATATATATATATATTAGGAAGATTATAAAAAATGCCAATATAAATATATATATAAATAAACCTTTTGTAGGCAATATAGGAACATCCTTTGTTTTGTGTGTGTGAAATTCTGTTTATACAATATAATAATAATCATTTGAAAAGTTTGCTGCTGAAAAAAAATATACGAATTATATATATATATATATATATATATATATATATATATAAAAACAGTATTGATTGATTGATTCTTTGATTTGTTTGTTAACTTTCAAATCAATCTATTTTAAATTTAATTAAATCCCCAAATTTTTTTAGATTATAAAACTTTGAAAGAATGATATAATATGATTTGATTTACTGCTAGTAGTCCTATTAATTAACATTTTTTTAGGGAGAAGACGTCGATTCGTAGCTTTTAAAACGGTATTTCCGCGTTCGTGAATATAAATTGAACTTCATCTGGAAATGGGATAAAAAATTCAATTATCAAATTACCTCCAAGTTTAAAAATCATTACATTTTCACAACACCTGGTATTAAATAGGCGGTCGTCCATCTTTCTTTTTATTACAAGATACCATGAATATTTGGATAGAAGCTAATAATACCTTTTTTAATATATAAAACAACATTTCTGATAAGAAAATAAATGTCTACTTTCGAAATCTTCTAACAAAGTTGGATTTATATATATATATATATATATATATATATATATATAATGTGTGTGTGTGTGATTGTATGTGTGTGTGTGTGTGTATCTGTTGAAACTTGACTAATGCATGGAATAATAATGCAACACAAAATGTACTTAGAACAAAATGTATTGAAACAAGAAAGTGTACACAATATTTACATATAGTCTTTTGTATATTCCTGGTAAGACCGTTCCTGGAGAATGTGTTGACTGAGTCGCAGTCGGGCAGAGTCTCTGGTTGAATCTCTTGATTCCTCTCCTCTCTTCCCGGTACCAACCATATTTATATGGTCGGTACTCCACTATGCAAATTAGGTGGATCCTACCACAAAATATATATATATATATATATATATATATATATATATATTCATATGGTTGTTTCATTAAATGATATAGTCAAGTTCTGTCTATTTAGAAATGCAATAATCCTTAAATATCGTCTGATAAGGTAAATAACATTATCATTGTAAAAAACAAAAAAAGAAAATCACAATATTGTTACATTTTTTTAATCTTATCTACATTTCTGATTACATATATTATCATCAAAGATGACAATTACATTGCAATAAATTAGACAATACACGGACACAGCAACAATGATAGTCTGTTTTTGTTTGCATGGAAGATTTCCAAGCAAAGACAAACTCGTGCATACTGTACGGATCAAAGTTCATGTTGAGAATTTTCGGATAGCAAAAGAAAAGTTGAAATGAAATATTCGAAAAGTCCATTATATAGAACTTCCAAGCCATATTCGTGACTCTACCTCGAGTTATACTTGGGCCTTGTACAGGATAAACATCACTGTAAAAAAAAATAATCCTCGGATGTAGAATTGGTTATCTTTACGAAATTTACAAGATTTTTTAAAAAAGGCGATATTGTTTTTTGCAAGTCAGCCATCTTTGATTACATGTTAGTGTCTACAAGACTTATATCTTTGAATAAATAGCAAATTCCACGGAATTGTCAGCGTAACTTAATCAATAACTGGAATCCAAGACTCAAACTGCGCTCAGAAAAATCCCCGACTGTCTCTGATAAACCAGAAGCTATCAAATATCCACGACTCCAAATAATGTTTATGAATCGATCAAGATGTCTGATAATGGCGGACAACACCCGTGTCTCTCTTAGTCTAAATATTTGACGTCATAAAAGACGGTTGTCTAAAATTTCTGTGCATCGGTTGGCGTTTTAGAAAGAAAAACTTGGCGAATAGCGTTCGAATTCAGAATACGCATCCATCTTTTCTAGTAGCAGCTATTATTTAAATTGCAATGACTGACTGGGTGAAGGAAACAAAATTCAAACCCAACCTGAAGAGGAACTGGCTCCTTCAGGTTACCATGCTCTAGTCTCTTTACTTTGCCAATTGCAGCAAAATTTTGCAAGAAGCTTCTGCTAAATAGGATTGTCCCTACCATCGATCCACTCGTCCGCAAGTAGCAGAATGGATTTAGAAGAGGCAGGTCCTCAACTTCTCAAATCCTCTCCATTCGCCGCTTACTGAAAGAGATGAAAAAATTCAACAGAGAGGGTCACAATCTGTTTTGTTGACTTTCGCAAGGCGTTTGATTCCATCAGCAAAGATTTCATGTTTAAAATCCTTCACGTCTATGATAGACCCTCCAGAATTGTTGAAGGAATTAGAGCTTTGTACAGAAATATCATTGCGACCATTGTATCACCTGATGTTGAGACTGATTCTTTTGAAATTAAAGCAGGAGTTCTACAAGGCGACACACTTGCCCCTTACTGTTTCTAGTTGTTCTGGACTATGTTCTGCGTATTTCTCTCGATAAAATGGAGGAAAAAGAACTCCTTTTGAAACATCAAAGTTGGTCATCTCCACATTACCTGACTAACTCTGACTTTGCCAATAATCTTGCATTGACTTCTCAGTGTATCAAGAATGCAGAATCCTTGCTGCAATCACTCGAGGAAGCAGCGAACCAGGTAGGTCTCTGTTGCAACGTGAGTTAAAGACTCTATATTGTTATTCATCATGACGGTCGTCTTCGAGTATAGAATCCAGAGGTTAGCAGTGAATATTTCGAAGACAGTAGGAAAGCGTTGTTCAGATTAGCAGTGGATATTTCGGTAAAAAGTAGCAGAGCATAATTTCGATCTAC